TACCCAAACCTGATAGATGGATGGAATGAACCTAGCATAGCGAATTCTTGAAGTTGAATATAAGAAAGAAAGCCTACAAGTATAGAAAGAAGTGCTAGTATCAAATAAACATAAGTAGTTGAGTCAGCATAAGTAGTTTATTGCTTACGCCCTTTGCTTCTTCTTTTTCTCCTAGATCCTATATTGCTTCCCCCTTATAGTAATGATTTTCAGGTCAGTTTGAGTTACACACTAAGCTGCTTATTACAAAAGGGCAACTCGCTTACGATCCAACATGCCAAGCCTGGTAGCAGAAAAGGCATGCAACAAATACCTAGCTTGAAAACTAGAGTATAAAGTAGTTTAGTGAAAAGGAAAGTAGTTTAGAAATTGTTACAAGAATGAAAACAAAAACTATTAATAAACTGAATGCAACAAAGAATACAAAGCTAACACCCGAGGAAGGACCGCCGCTCCTTTCATATGCTAACTTTGCCAATGCCCTTCCTTATAAAATAGACGTAATAATCTATTAAATAACATTCTGGATAGATAGTCCATTCCTTTCTTCCAACGTTGAACTCTTGACTATGTTTGTTTGCTGGTGAAAAAAACTGTTTCTAAAAAGAATAAGGCCGGCAGAAATGCTAACTAAAGTCGTAGTGAAAGACCAGTTATGAAAGAGGAATTCAGTCAATCCTTCCAATCTAGTATCTATAAAAGAAAGTAAAGATGGGATGGGATTAGAAGCACTAATCAAAGGAGATTTATTTGCTGTCATCGAGCAGGGCTGAATAGATATCTGTTCTGTTGGCGAATCTCGGGCATCTTCACGGCTAAGATCAAAAGAAGTGATTTAATTAGTAAAAGAAATCGATCACTGCTTGGACTCCCCGAATGGGAGTTACTTTTCTTTTCTTCATGCAACCCCTGCAAAGTAAAGGTGAACCTACCTTACCCAATAAGGAGTACGGATTACCCGTGTACCGGGCCTAGATAATTTCTTTAATTCGCTACAGGTAAGGGTTAGCACAATACTCCCTAAGATTCAATCCCGCTTCCTTGTGCGGCTTCGTCGAGGAATTACCTCGTTAGCCCACGCGAACTAGCTATCAGCTATTAGATAGCAATAAGAACACCTTTCTTTCGTAAGAAGGGTTACCGAATGATTGGGAGGGGAAGTAAGCTTGGAGGGTTTTACCAGTGTGCGGCATTTAACAACATTTGTAAGTCGTTCCAGCTTTCCAAAAAACCCAGTCTCGCAGAGCACCAATTAACTCTTTTAGGCCAGTCTCAGGAGTTTATTTATTTGAGCCTCTGTCTCGGATAAGATTAGTGCGAGCCACATCCAAATACCTCGGTCAAATTATTCTGTTTATTATTATATTAGGCCGCAGGTGGTAGAATCCCTCTGTCTCACGAGCAAAACAGCCAAGTAAGCTAAGTTTGGATCTGATAAGGTTGGGTTAAAGCCAAAGTAAGGAATGAATGGAGAAGCACAGTCTGGCTCTATAAGTAAGGAAATATCTCTATCCGGTTATTTGTAGTGAAAATCAGTCTCGAGGGGAGCAAGCAAACTCCAAATTAATATGAATACGAACCTGGTTCAACAAGTCGAAAGTCATAGGAACTTAGAGATTCGGTTTCTTATGTAACTCGCTTGCTAGAAACAAGTCTTGGATGCCACAACTCCACATCCAGTCAGTAAGTCTGTAAGTAAGGTAACTTAAGAAAAGCGAGCCAGATAAGATTGTTAAGAATCAAAGCGAGTCCTGCAGATGATTCTGATTTTCTAGTAACTGGTCGTCTGTACTTAAATCGAATGAAACAAGCGAGCCCACTTCTTACTTCTTGCAGGTGTTTGGGAGGCGGCTAAGCTACAGAACTTGTAGTTCAAGTTTACGAGCCAGATTGGACGGAAGGAGTATAAGATTCAGATTTGGAGCTAACGAGCCTAGCAACAGCTTAGTTCTTTTGTAGGTAATCGATCGAATCCGCCTAGACCGGGGAAGATTTCTAAGAACGCAGGTCTAGCATTTTAAACAACATTTGCCAATGCACAAAGTATGGTAAGTAAGGTAGGCTTAGCTGACTGATGCTTACTAAATCGAAACTTTGACTTCTATATTCAACTCAGTCTTTCCCTTAAGATCTCTGCTGTTGGAGATAGCGTGGGCGGCCCCTCACTTTTATTCAGAACTTTGATGGTACGAAGTGCCCAGTAAGCCTGGCTGGAAGAAAGGAATATTAATTACAACCACTTGTATGCAGCTTAGTCGGACTCAAAGGATATAAGGGAATTGGCGCTCGCTCGGATTCATTTTCCAGGTCCTACATGTTCTAGGACTATAGATGATCCAACATGCCTATAGTTTTCATTATTGTGTTATGCTTTAGCCTCCTTTTATAAGCACGCCCATGCGAGTCGATTTCAAGATGTCAACTTTGACTATCTTTCTCTTCTTACTTTACTTATCCCTTACATTACTTTACCTAGTAACTTTGAAATAGGCATATCTTGTCTACCTTCCATATACCCTAGCATTTCTACTAGTTGTTTTCTTGCATATATCCAACCTGAAATACCATTGCTTCTTGTAGGTTTTTACTTCTACTTTCTTGACTATAATTACCTATACTTGCCATCCCGTCTTTCTATTCCTTTTGAAAGTCAACTTGTGACTGACACAGCCTTCGAAGCTATGAAAAGACCTATTATGTATAGAGCTTGACATGCCAACTACTATAGCTATAGTAAGTACTTCTAGCTATTCCTACTTGTTTTTTTCCTACTTGACTAGTGCTGACTTACTTCTTTGCCTATGAAAATTCTTATTATTCTCCAAACTGTGGTATCTGAAATGACCCACTTTCCTGAGCAAAAGAAAGCTTACTACAGCACGGTCTTACGTCCAGGAATGGAACATTCCATCTCTTCTTGTCCACTGGTATAGAAAGAATATGCATTTTCTTGACCCACCGAATCCTAATCCTCATCTTCAAGGGTCCACCAGGGCTTCCAAAGCGAAACTATCCTCGGCAAAGAACCTAAGGAATTCCTCGAATCGATAGACTTTCGTACAACGGCAAACAGAGAGAGGGTTTTACGCTACTTCACAGTCAGAAGCAAGGGTGGAAGGTATAACTCTAGCCGGCAGGCAGGAGGGAACGAAGCTCTTTCCTGATCTTGGGCTAGAATCCCCGACGTTGGTAGATTTCGCAGTGGTGTAGCTTAGGATCTTAAAGGTAAGCAGCAGGGTTAATCCCTATCGAAGGAATGGGGCTTTTCTTCACTTCAGCACTTCCCCTCGCAGTGGATTCCACTAGGTTCTTAACCTCTTCCCAATTCTTAAACTAAAACCTGCGATGTCTAATCCAACTCGGCACCTAACCAGCTTGTCAGCATCGTAAGTTTGCCTCAACATTCCCCCTAGAAATAGAATAAGAATGTAAATCTACTTTCATTTATTTATTAGGGATGAGACTTTCTTATATATTTTTATAATAAGTATGCTCTGGAGTAAAAGGATTCGAACCTTTGCATGCCGGTACCAAAAACCGATGCCTTACCACTTGGCTATACTCCAAACGGTCGGTTCCCGGGGAGAGGGGGAAGGGAGAAGCAGGGCTCGAAGAAAACGAGCCGTGCAAGGACGCGGGGATATAGCAAGTAAGCTGCAAGGTTTTCCCTTTAGGACCGGCTACAACAAGCTCGCGACTCTAATAGAAACAAAGGGTCAGCTCTCTGCTCTATTTGCTTGCAATGCGTTGCCTATCAAAGTCGGCGAACGCTTCCACCCCCTCTTGCCCTTGTTACGCAACACGCCAACAAAGAACCTTGGTTCCGTTGCGCCCTGTATTCCGAGGCGACCATTTCGCGCGGTTCGACCCATTTCCCGATCCGAAAAATCCGATAACGTACCTATATGAGTGGGATGGATGGTAAATCATTTGCAGTCTTTTTCGGCAGGACCTAGACACGGAGGTTCGGGAAGTAGCGCATGACAGCATTCACTGGTGAAAGGACTGGCAGCAGCGAGAGCATCATAGTTGACATGGTCGGAGCTACAGTCCCCATATCCGTCTCTACTCTTTCTGTAATTGACTCCCTCCCGCTCCCCCTTTTCCTTTGAAATGGTTGAGGGATATGAATCTGGATCCCGATCTTGTCTCACGGACTATCCCGTAGTGGTTCTGTGACCGTCAATTGGATCTATTTCTTTCACACGGTCAACTGGCATTGGTTTAACTAACTGGCTGGCTGCTATTGATTGATATCAGAGCCCGAGCCTTTGCCCCTTTTTGCATGGTCTACCTCCTATCGGCTACTGAAGCCCGAGTATCAAACTACTGAAAGCGGAGGTTCAAATACCTCGGTACCTGCTTGATGGTGCTGGCAGATCGACTACTTGGTCTGGGGGGTTTCGTATCAATCCATGGGGGCTTTAGTCATAGCCCCCGCCTCTGCTTTGTTCCCGCTCTAGGCTTAGACCATCCTTCGTCAGTGCTTCCTGCGCTTCTGATTATGGAGCTGTACGACCTTCCGGGTCAACGAATGAAATGAAACAACTGCCTCTCCCGTCCATCAAAAAGTGTTATTTCCTCCAGCTCCCGACTCCGCTTCTCCCTCCGATGCCGGTAGATTAATTCATTGACAAAACCCATTGATTCAAAGCAAGAAAACGGATGCGCGTGCTAACGCTTTCGCGCTAGTGCGCTCAATCCGTTGCTTGTTTGGAACAAGAGTTTTCATAAAATGGTTCTTTTATGCAATTATGAACGGGCAGGCCTCTTGTGGATTCCTCCAACTCCATGAATGAAGGGGGGAGTATGAGGAAGGCCGATTTTCTTTCTATATGAAGATGAAAAAAGGATCAGGGTCAAACATTTCTTACTTTTGTTGAGTATGACTGAATGAGGAAGAGCTCCTTATATGGTATCACTTTACCACCATCTGAAATGCGCGAAACTCCGATTGGTGGAAGCCAGTCCATGAAGATTCCCCCTTCTCTTAGCCATGTCTAGGAAGCGGAGTTTTGATCCTCATCCGCCCGTAAGCGGACTCTTTCGACCAAGCGCCAGAAGGTAGCGGATTGCTCATTCCGGCTCTGTAGGTCGTCGAGCATTTTGTGCAACTTAGCCAAGTCTTCCTCGCCAGTGGCCGTACGGGGGTTGTCCAAGGCCCGCGCGCCCCATCCCATCCAATCGCCACTTGGATGCAGGGTCGCCATCTTTCTTATGATTTGAACTTTCAGTTCAAATAGATCCTCCGCTTGAATCCGGGACATTTGCATGTCATGGGCGGAAGGATTCAAATTAGCTCCCAAAATTCTCCTTTGAATGGATTGCACGCAATCCCCTCCTATTATCTCGTCAACTGGATACGGGTAGGGCGCGTAGGGCAGAGCCCGATTAGCAGCTTCCTGCATAACGGGAAGAGCGGGAGGCATAGCTTGCTCCCCTGGAAGCGGTTGATTGACCGAAGGTTCCCCCCCGGAGGGTGTCCGCGGCGCGGAAGGAGTCGTTGATGCCATCAGCGCGTCCATTTCCCCCGTGCTTTCTTGAAAGGAGGACGAGGCGGTACTTCTACTACGCCCGGAACTGACCGAATCTTCCGCCAAATCGGAAGTATAAGTGAATAAGGCGGAATTTGAGGGTCCTTCTGCCCCGGATCCGTAAGCAGCGGGAGCTGCCCCATTATTAATAGGTTCGTTATCAGCGGCGTGTGCCACCGATCCACTCAAAACCGCTGAAGAAAGAACAACAAAAGTAGTGAAAATGCGAGACGTCAATACTGCAGAACGGGGCCATAAAGCGCGAACCAACATCCGTGATACGAAAACCAAAATCAGAAGAATAAGTAGAATGATTATCGGATCATCATGCATAATCGAACAAAGCTTATCCGCATGGTAAAGTAGTTTACCACACAAGTCGACAAAAAAGACGTTCGGCTTTAGAAATCATTTTTTTGCTCCCTCATCCTCGGTTGTTCGTATTTCATTTTCTTCAAAGGCACATGCACTAGGTTACTTACGGAATCTCAAAGAAAGAGTCGTCCAGGAGCACTTCGTTAGATTTGCATGTGTTAAGCATATAGCTGAAGTTGCCTATGCGCTTCAACCTGCTCTTACAAGACGAATCTCTTTCTATACGCAATTTCAACTAGAGTCTACTCCTTTCTGGTCTGAAATCTCAGTAGAGACGATAAAGATTAGGTGCCTTTCTTTCTATAGGGATAGGTGCTTCTCTCTATAGAAAGAAAGGAGATCCAGTTTACCATTGAGAGTAGAGAAGGGGAAGGCTTGCTTGTACTAGTTGAGAGTAGAGAAGGGGAAGGTTTTAAGCTGAACTTTTGGATCGGTTGAAGGGAGAAAGGAAAGGCGGAGTCAAGGGTGTTTAGGAACAGAAGCCTACCTATTTTACTGCTTTGGAAAAACCGGCGCTTACCAATTCGGAGATATACACTCATCGAGCAACTTCTTCTCTCATTCATTACACAACGGACCGAAACCAAACGAAGCGATTTACTAGATTATTTACACTTAGGCTACCCACTTTACCCACACTACGACATTTTCTTCACTTATGACTTTGGTAACTGGAGATGGTTTTTCACCAACTACGTCATGCTCGCCAGAAGCAGAGGATGAGCTGGCAGATATTGATTCGCCTAACACAGACAAACCAGACACTTACCACGTTTAGAGAAAGAGGACACCTTACCACTACAGGAGCGCTTATGGCATTACGACGCTGCTTTGACCTACGACAATTGCCTTTAGCGAACACCCTGCAACCGGTCTGGAACAAGGATTGACAAGCTGAAAGCCGAGGGATTCATAGTTACTTACAAACCACTGGGATTGCTGTACCCTATGTCCTATCTCCACTTTGACGAACCAACCCTATACCTCCACCTATTAGAAGTTGGAAGCCACGACTACCAAATACACCGGATCGAAGAGAACCCCTATACCATCTTGAAAAAATAGGGTAGGAGGATTATATCCAGCAGACAACAAGCTAGATAGAATTGCCGCTTTCTCTGGACCGCCTAGGATTTTATTTTACTTGATGATAGCCATCAGAGACACTCAGTTAGAGATCTCGTGTTTAGCCATTGACAAATGAGAAGATCCATGAGCAGGCAGACCAGAAAAGAGACCGAAACTATCTACATCAGGCAGACATAAGGCAACCCGCCTTTATATTGCTTTCGAGCGACACCATCCAAGTCTCCATCTTACTCTGTGTTTACGGCAGCTACTTCCAACAAGGCGTGTAGCGTTATGTTGCCGAACAAAACTGGTAGGGATTGGGGCGGATATCGCAAGACAACGTTGATGGAATGTCGGGAACTGAACAGACCACAACCCTATCTTCAGAAAAGCGTACGGCGGTCGTCTCCCTGGTGACCTTTTCGGGGTGTGCACTTTATTTTTTCCGGCCTCCCTGTCTTTACTGCATTTCGAAACTCTAGCCCAGAACTTGTTTGTTCATAAGCCTTTTTCATTCAACCAGTGTAGAGTGCTCCATTGGTAGTGGTGGATTGGTTAACCAAGCAGATAGTCTAGTCTAGTAAAGTCCATAAAGAAAAGTATAGTAAAGAAAGTCTCGTGTAGAACGATCTGATGAGATATTTGATATTGTGCGTTCCTCTTTGTCACAGTGATAAACTTGTAAGTCAATATCATCCGAAACTTTTTATTTTTTAATTAGAGAATTGTCTGTCGGAAATAGGATTTCTCCTATGTGAATAGGTCTTACGTCAATAATCAAGTGCTTGCTTGTAAATAGGAAGAAGAATTAATTCCCTAAATCCTTTTGTCGTGTAGTAATTCTCTATGGCTCTGCCCGTCTAGTTCATTGAGCTGGAAATAGAGTACGCGCATTTCTCTTTATCGCTCTGCCTTCTTCCTCCGAGCACATTTAAGTAGGGTGCTCCTTCTGAGTGGTTGGACTACTGCATTTAGTGTTTTTGGTTGAGCCCGGTACCCACAAGACAAGTGAAGCATTTCTTCTCTTCTGGGAAGGGTTCGGCAAGTGAGTATGGTGATTGAAATGTGGGGTTCTTGCCTTCTATTTGTTTACTCTCATCTATTTATTTCATTATTTTGGGCTTTTTTACTACTTGATTGAACACTTCGTGCCGGAATTCCACTTGTTGAAAAAAGAGGTTTCCACTGAATAGGAAGCTAATGCTCTTCGGGTAGGAGGACTGGAATATAGAGTTATTACGGAAAGAGTATTTTCAGTACCTACATGATAAAGAGAGACTACCTTCCCAAAATAATAATCCGGAGAGAAGATGCTTCTCGGAAGACGATGGAAATGAGGAACGAAGTTATCCTTCCCCTTTTATAAGGCACGGGCTCAGGTTACGTACGGATTTTATGCAACAAATACGATACATACGGTGTAGAATACTTTATTGCTACTGGCTTTTGCCTTTAACGGATCTCGCTGCGCGCCTCAATCGTATCTTCTCTTGCGCGGAGGTTCACCTAGAAGATCATCGACTCTTTCTTTCGCGTATGAATACTGGGCCGGGTCTACGTACCATACCAATGAAACACACAGACACCAATTGCCTATCTGAGTTTATGCTTAACGAAAGAGCAAGCACTTGGAAAGGAGAGAAAAGGTCGTCCCTTTACTCTATTCCTGACGTTAGGACGGATACTTAACTAGTGGGAGGCCTTACGAGGGCTAATCTACTACTTGACTCACGAGTTGCTCAAATCATCTCTTGATTCGGAATCACGGGATCGGTAGATGTCACATAACTTGATTAGTTAGAAAATGATTATGCTATCGGCTTGATAGAATCAAAAATATGAATAATACAAGTGCCGGTCAGCTAGCACCTTTGGTGACATGCTGTTCCCCACTAGTCTTCTTCGTACATGCCCATGGGGTTATCCCTAAGGCCTATTCAGCACTGCACACTGGGTAGCACGTAACTAGTGGTCATGCTTACTTCAGATGTTCTCAGCCCAGCTCAGTCTATCACTTAGACTTCAGATTTCGTGCAGTGTTCAACAAGCTAGGAACACAAAAGAACGCTTTTCCTCTTAGGGGCCACATTCTTGCATACTCTTTTGGATTTGACAACGTGAGTTCTAAACTGAGCATAGAGCAAATATCTCTTGATAAAGGAGAAATAGCAAAGGGAAATGTGCTAGCTGATAACTCCTACTATTTCGCTTCGCGCCTCTGCCTCGTTTTCAGTGAGATATGCCCATCAAAGAGAATCCAAGACTCCTCACTTGCCTTGCCGCTTCGCGCCTGCCTCGTTGACTGATCTCGTACAATCACTTGCATTTTCCTATGTGGAAAACTTAGCAACTACTCTACCCTTCCCTTAGAGTGGAACTCACAGTGTAGCGAGCCACCCATAATCGGCTTGGAAGTGTTGCAGCTCGCATCCATCAGACCTGGAAATACGCTCTCTTTCTGGAAGTCACTGGCCAAGTATGACATAGAGAAGATGGATGAAATTCGATAAAAGGCCGAAGGCGCGCCTCGAAGCAAGCTCTATTTGAGATTAGAGGCCGCAGGCTTTCCGGTGCAGCCGAGTAGTCATTGGTGAGGATCCGAGTAGTGAGGGACTTTGCTACCAGGTCATCGTAGAGCTCAAGCCACCTATGCTTTTGAACAAGGCACGCAGTGTCTTACGTTCAAAGACGAAAGGCCGTAGGTGTGGTTCCAGTACGTTCTTTTGCTACAGCAATCAAGTATGGTTTTGGCAGTGATCAAGATTTTTGACATGTTATTAAATCTACACATCAGCAGTTGGAGCTATAGCAGTAAGGAGTTGGTTTGAAATAGGCAGGCCTGGCCCTTGCATAGTAAATTCCATTCAACCATTAGAAAGAAAGACTGAGCTAGGTAAGCAAAACGGGTGTCATACAAAAATCTCATTGAAATCTCAGGACCAACAGCTTTTCTTTAAACGAGATCTTCCTTCGTTCATCACTCCGATCTACATCCAGTCCTTCTGGTTTTTTCTAACGACCTACTTTCTTTTCTTCTTACTTACATTACAGGACCCAAGCTACTTTGAAAGGGGTTTTCCAAGGTAAATCAGCTTACTACTCACTCGCATACGTGAATACCTTGCGAGCATACTTTTTTAATAAAAGAAACAAGGCAAAGCGGAAACCCGGGCCCCTGCATGCACTTCTGAACTTCTCACTTGAGAGAGCTCTTTAGTAGACATTCTGCATTCTCTTGGTCTCATTGCTTGGGATTCGTTCCCGGCTGGGCTATCTACCGAGCGAAACTCTTATCATAGTCCGAGTTCTGGGTATGGGGTCTGATTTTCAAAGTGAGAGGTTCAAAGCCCTGCCCTAGAGTAGCCTATGGTAGATGCGAGTAGGATGGGGCCAGCCAACCTTCATTGAGTGAGAGTCCCTTTGAGATAGCGCAGTATTCTTCTCACGGCTAAGCGGTGCTAGAACGGAGATTCTTTTCAGGAAAGGACAAAGGGTGCGTGCGCAAGAACAAAGGACAAGTGAAGTTCACTAACCAAAGAGTAGCATTTGATCATATATAGTGGATATTTTTGGAAGTTGAATACGCTCAAACAATACTCAAGCGAGACTGTTCAAAGCAGATATGAAAGTGACGCATCAAAATGAATTATAAGCAATAGATAGGTCGTACTACACCTTAGCTTAGCCCCTTAGCGCTTAGGCTTTCTAGCAGGAAGCGAGATATTCATACGCTTTCTCGGCAATCACATAAAATCAAATAGGCGTAGGTCAATACTCTTTCAGCTCTGCTCGCATTAAAATATATAGACTTCTTAACATACATAGCTGTTCTACTCACCAGTGTCTGCGCATATATCTAGATTAGTGTCCCGGGCTTCACTGCATAC